CTTATGACGGCAGCGCGGCTATAAATTCTACAAACTTTCAGGCGGGCTATGCTTTAGCACGTAGCGATCGTTCTCTTGTTCTCTAACCTCAACCTCCATGGACCTTACACTCTTCACATTTTCCATTCACGCACACCTGTGACGTGTTCTTATATTAAGTCTATGCGTCTTCTATTCATTTTGCGACTGAACTATACTGTTTTATTACTGAACTAGTGCAATTTATTTGCGAAATAAGTTTATATTATTTATAATATATAGCTGCCAGAGTGGAGCCGAATAGGTGCTAGCATCTCTCTTTTTTTGGTGGTCTGAGGTGGATTGGCTATTGCAGTAGGTATCAGGCGTTATATTATATAATGTATTATCAGAAACTATGACATCTTTAATTCCTTTCCTATATCATCCATCATAATCCACTATTATTGTACCGATGGAATCTTGGAATGATAACATTTCTTTCGCTTTCGACTAAAAGCAGAGATAAAAGGAAACATCCTGAGTGGACCAAGTAAAATATTTACATCGCCATCTACTTTGCGAAGGTAGAACTATTTAAAAAGTCTCACTGTGGAGTAACTTTGAATATGTGGTGGGTTTTCTAAAGAAAATGTTAAAATGATAGTTCACTACGACGATAGATGGCGCTACCAAGTGAGTAAAGTGTATTATTATATTTTTTTTTCTGTGATGAAGTAGAAGTATTAGGCATCATTTATTATTTTTGTCATTAACAATTTATTAATCTCGTCTATCAATTAATACTAATAATTGAAAGTAACCTTTTTACCTAACAGGAAGTAGTGAATAAAGTGGTAGGTAAGATTGTGCACTTTATTTTAACTAGGAAATTGTCTCTTTTTTTTTACACTAAGTAAGTTATAGGGTTATTTTGATAAATAAAGCAAGAAAACAGAGCTATCGTTGAATGTTATTAAAATGAACCTCTTAAATATATGAAAGAGTATATATACTCGTTTCTTTAGGACAGATCAGATTTCCAATAATTATAAAAGACAAATACACAATATTTTGAAAAATACTGGTCACTTACAAAATAGGTTCAGAAATCAACGGATCTCAGCAACTGAATTAACGAAAAGGCGTATATTTGCATCACATAATATGGTACGAAACTTCAGAGATATTCTAGAACACTTTCAAGGATTTATGGAGAGAATAGTAGGAGACAAGATGAAGGAAATACATTTAAACAACGCAGTCTTAGGCCATACCGGGGCCCATGGGCACACAAGAATTTGGGGCCCTGTTGGAAAGTAAAAAAAAAAGTGAATGTCGAAAACATCTTATACGTCTTATTGTAATTGATTGGTAAAAATCAAATAATATGTCATTTTTTATAAAAAAACTGTGGTTGCTACGAGTGGTAACTTTGCCACTTTTCCCCCTTCGAAGCAAACTATGGGGTGGCCTATGTTCAGCAGGGGACTTTTTATGGGATGACATGAAGATGAGGATGATAAAAAGATCAAAATGTAGATGTCTTAATACCAGTTTACCATCAGGAAGACTGTTTGCTCGTTTGTTACCCTTACTTTAACAATAGATGGTAGCTTCATTTCTTTCTTTTCTAATGAGCACAACGTGTGCCTGATGGTTAGTGAATTTCACGCTGGTACTCTCCCTCCTTCCCCGTTCATCTGTGGCTTTACTACGTTCTTCCGTTGTTTATTATCTTTTATTACTGTTATTTTAACTGAGACCAAAAAGAGATATAAAGAAAAAAGAAAATACCCAATAAAGTAAAATAAAAAAAAACTATTGGGTTTAACATTTTAATATAACTACTTACGCATAAATTAATTTTAAATATATTATATAACGAAAATCATATATTTTACTCACATTTTTATAAAAATAAATAAATGGAAATGTTTTACATTCAACTTTAAATGGATGGCATATTGTAACCAGGATTACAAATTTTATAATAATTAAAGTATTTTTGAGACTATTACCTGTAAAGTAGATGGCGTTAAAAAGAAATAATGATTTTTATTTTATTCTAATTGTAATCTGGTACTTCGACGTCCGTATAGGCAGTACATGTAATCTAAGTTTCTAAGTAAACAGTGAACTTTTACAGTGATAAGCAGATGATGTTACAAGTTACAATTAAAGAAGTGAATCTAAAAACAAAATAAATGTTTTGCAACATTGATTCTTTACTAACATCCTCTTGATATAGCCAACTCGAATTAAAATATTGTACTTATGTCTAATTCTATACTTTTTTAGAATTATAGTAATCTGACTCTTCGTAGGTAATGTGTAGTACTATATTATATTAAATATTAGTGTTGACAACCGTATTCGTAACGTAGTATATACTCATTCCAATTATGGACGGAATTAAACCTGCACGTAAATATTATAGTTGTCCCAAGGTGTGTTAATAGACATCAGATGTCGACTGGTTTCTGAAGATGTTAATGCTGCTAGCGTTTATGCTTTTACAGCTTCAAAGGCCTTAGAGCTCCTATGATTAGGGAGTGCTGAGTCCCGGCTCTGTCGTGTCGTTCGATATTTTGAGCGGTGAGAACCATCCGGTACGCGGGTGTACGATGTATCTGCGGTATCCCATCCATTGTCCTATCAGTGTTTGTAACACTAGGTGAGTGTGTAGTGTTCAATTAAAACGTTGTGGGGCCTCCGGAGGCTTTGTTTAACGTTTTGGGTCGATGCATAGGTTGCTGCGCTTACCACTAGCGGTTTGGGATATGTCTCTGCGCTCTCAAAGTAGTGCGGAGATATTTCGTCAGGTAGCCGAGAGCGCGACACGCTGGGTTGAACCGCACGTCTGGGACGGCTTTTACCTCTACGCCCTTTGCGTCGCGGCGCTTTGGAACACCTGCTACAGTTTGGTGGGTGTCCGTCTTCGCGGCAATTAACGCACCTCGAAGTTTCTGCAGTCTCTAGCGTGCGGGTGTAGTCGGTAGTGCCGTGGTCACCTAGGCACTTGACACACCTAGGCCTGGCGTAATGATTTCTGACCGAGTGGCCGTAGAGTTGGCATCGGTAATACTGGCCAACGATGCCCCTATTACGGGGAGCTTCTACTGAAATCCCGGTAGGTTGCAGATACACCGCACATTGAATATCGTCTTATCTTCCGGAGGCAGGTCCAGGATGACAAGGCAGAGGTCAAGAAAACGTTTCTTATCGGTCTGGTGGTACATTCGGTGCATTTCATGGATCTGGAGATTTTGGACCTTAATCAGTCAGATCAGTGGCATTTACTTACTACAAGCTTGTTTAATAAAAGGCCCTTTCAAAAACTACATATACGTTAAGGTTTTATTTTGCTGTACAAAAGCTTAGATTTTATTATAATTTTAAGATAAGATGCAGACTACCTAATATAATAAAATATTGATAAATTTGTAATTTTTTGAGACAAATAAAGACTTTTGTTATTATTATTGTTGTTATTCCACTTGGTCTTGTCCTGACTGACGATGGGTGGTGGCGGTTTGTCCCCACGTTCAGCGGGGAACCTTTCTGGGCGCGCTTGGGGGGGTTTAGCGCGTGCCGTGGGGGCTGACTTTGTAGCTGGAGTGGCAGTGGGCGACGGAGGGGGGGGGCGAGTTAGGCTGCCTTTTTAAGGTGTTTGCGCGCTTGCGCTTCTTGTACTGGACTAAGGTGAAGCCTTCGTCTTTGGGCTTGAACGGGGCACGCGTCTCGGTCTCCATGTTGGAGCCAGAGTCGGCGTCTGAGAAGGTCAGAGAGGAGCCGCGGGTCAACATAGCGGAGGGCACGGGGGACGCAGCGTCGTTTACCAACGCGAACGAAGCCGGTGAGTTAACTCAAAAATGAATGTTTAAGAAATGGTTAACGAAGGTAATTGAATTGAGGATTTGTTTTCGATTTTTTTTTTGTTTTCGTGGTACGTATCCCACCATTATGCCACTATTAATTCAGATTTGCATTGCTTTAATAATTGAGTGTCAGCGGGAATCGAACTCATGTTGCTCACGTATATAAATTACCACGGGGTTCAAGCAAAGTAAAACCTATTATAATTTATTGAGTACTCCACAGTCTTTTATAAACACATAAGTAGACAAAATTGCTACTTAATCTAATATAATAAAATATTTATAAACGAATGTTACAAAACAAAATACTTATTATTCTACACAATTTTCTTAATTTCTAAGCAGAAATTCGTAAATATTCCTGTTAAATAATTTTTATTAATATTTATAAAAATATATTTTATTTTACTTTAAACTAGCAGTATGATTGATTAATAGATTATATATTGACAAATGATTGAATAATGACCATAGATTGACAAATGATCAGTATAATATAAGACCAGTGTAAAATATTAAACCTTTCGCTGTTCCGTGCGTTACATATACTCGTAGGTCATTGCTATTGTCGTACGACATTACGATTGTACCAAATTTGGTCATTGTTAGTGTCTGAAAACCGGACAGTGTAAGTCTTAAATTATCCAACGTGGCAGTAGACAGTTTCTGGTAAAATTTGTTATTACATGGAAAAAAACTACATTTCAATATCGATCGTCACAGGTGTAATACCTACGTTTATAACATCCGATTTAATTTTTACCATTTATTTTACAAGCTAAAATAATGATTTTGTAAGCAATGCAATTCATGCAGAACCACAATGCGAAACGCATTAGACATATACCTATTTTATATCATCTATTTCATAGATCATATATTTTATTAATAATTACCCTATTACGACACAATCTGTTACCGCGGGATTGTGATGTAAAATTCGCATCGGAAGATTGTTCATCATAACGTTGGATTATGTCTAATATTCGATGTTTCATAATTAAGTCTGAATTGCCGTATGTTTAAATTACCTACACTAAAATTATAATCTCAAACAACTAATTATCACAGCGCATATACTTATAACATAAATAAATACATTAGGTTTATAATTTATACCGTTCGATGTCCAAAAACGTCTATGGTGTATTTGAGATTCACAGTTTTCGTGTTTGTCTTCTGTCAAACACATTGCATATGCCATTAAATGTGGAATTACAATTTGCTCATAACTTGCTGTAAAAAGGTGTTGCCAGGGTCCAAGGGCGAAAACGGCCACATCTTCACCACCATGAGTCTCGGAGTCTAAAGGCACCAAGCTTGGGTAGGAAAAGTCTAAAGCGCCTGAAATTGTAAAATAGCAAAGTTAACAATTGAACTTTTATAGTTTTACACTTTTTAGGAGTAGGTACTACGGTTTATAATATTATCTTTTTATCGTCAAAGTAATTAAAAAAATAAGAAAATTAAAAAAATACCGTGTTAAAATAACTCACGAAAAGATTGTCTAAAATTACAATTACTTACCATTTTGAAATCCATCCTGCTTCGTGACATCAATTCTTCCATCACTTCCGATAGATGTCGCTTTTCCGTTTGCGTAGCTAATCGTCGTATACGGTTTCCCATCGTATCCTTTAGCGGTGTCAACGGATCCCAATATATCATTGCCTCTGGAAGGATAACCAGCCACCGTCATTGTATGAGCGTGGTCGGCACTAACAACCATTATTGTGTTTTCTTCGTTAGTTAGACTTCTGGCTTTCTTGACTGCTTTGGCATATTCAACTGTTTCATCAAATGCCAAGCGGGCGTAGCTATCGTGGTGGGCGTGATCAATTCTGCCACCTGCAAATACAAGATTACATTTTTTTGTTGTTGTTGATAAAATGTTATAATAGTTGATAAAATGTTATTTTCAATTTTTAATTACTATAACTTATAATATCTTTTTTTTTATAGGATAGGGTGACAAACGAGCACACAGTCCACCTGATGAAATGATATCTGTCACAGAAAAGAAGGCATTATGCTTTAGTTTTTATGCGTGCAACTGCGGCCACCATTTCTGGGATAATGTTACCTACCTACAGTTTAATGTTAGAATTATGAATTTACTCGAAGGGTGAAGTAGCACGCCTCTTGAAATATTTCAGGATGTTACAATATTTCTCTATTTGAACCTCATTATTGACGTGAACTTGCCATGTATTTATACGTGGTAGTCACGAAATAGTTATAACGCCATCTATTGGAATCCGTTATTATTACCAAATTTTCCATCTAATATGCCATAACTTTATTAATACTCGTAATGTATTGGGTTCATAAAATTTAGATGGCCCAGTCAATTAGGAAACCTCTCTTACGGAGTTGATTAAAAAGAAAATATTTAAGATTTAATTCGTGTCTGTCATCACTCATCACTCATCAGTGATCACTATTAATTTTCCCTTTTTCGACTATAATTGTTTATTGTTTGATTTTTTTGAACGAAAAACTAATTACGCCCTTTTAATAAAAACGTAATCAGATATTCGTTACGTAAATACTAATTAATCGTCATTTTCTACTTGGTATGAAAAAAAATCACTAAGTTACGAACGTAGGTCAACGCACACATGAACATCATTTTAAAAACAGTAGAATCGGACTATACAGATCGCAAAATGAAGGTAGTAGTACTATGTTCTAATTTGTACTTTTAAATTTTTCGAATTTAGGTATAATACTAACAATTTATATTGTAAACATATTGAACAAAGTTTCCTGGATAATAGCAAAAAATAACTGCGAAGGCATTGACCTACTACTAAATAAATTCATCATCATCATTACAGCCCTTCAAAAGTACACTACTGAACATAGGCCTCCCCCAAGGGTTGCCACAAAGCACGATCCTGAGTCACCATCGTGAGTCTCCATCGACTTCCCCATCGGTTTTTTTTTAAATTTATTTATTATTAAAAATACAAAATTTGGTTTTTAAATATACATATTCCCGCAAAACTGCTTACACAGTTTGTCTGCAGGAACATTTGAGTCTCATTTACATGATATATAATATAATGCTAAGCACTGAGACTTGTCAATAAATATTTCTTTAATTTATTTTTAAATATGTTTTTTACTGGTTCACGTCGAATGTCCTCAGACAAACTATTGAAAAAGTGCGGTCGTTTCTTTAAAGTTCTATCCCCGAAGTAGTTATTTACTTTTGGTACAACAAATTTGCCTGCAGACATCGACCGTGTACCCTGACCATGCTTGACCAATATTAGAGTACGGTCTTGACAGTTGTAATTGTTTATGGCAAGTAAATATTTATGTTTTAAACTTACTGGGATTATTTTGCAGATTTTGAATAGTTTTGTGTAATCGCCTTTACAAATAGCTTTAGTTTTTTTTTTATTAAAAAGTAACTTTAAAAATCTAATGCTTCAAGCTTATCAATGTAGGTTTTAAATGTAAGACCATAACTGTCAAGAGCGTATCCCAAAATCGAATCTACCAATGAAAAATATAAGCATTTTAATGTAGCAGAAGGAACTTTAAAACTTAAGTAATAAAATTTACTTAGAAGTAATCTTAACTTATTACACATACATAATCTACGTGGCTGGACCACGAGAAGTTAGTATCAACTTTAACACCGAGGTGGGTTAAACAATCGACTTTTTCGATAGGCTCACATCGACAATTATTTAGACCATTATGGAGCTCCTCATCCGTCGGGCTATGTCGGTTACTCTGTTTGTGAGTTTAAAGTGGTTTTTCTATAATTTAACTACTTGCCCAAACACTACTATTATAGATCTCCAGGTATTTTTGTTTGAGTTCTACGCGAACGAAGTCGCATGTAAAAGCTAGTATTCTAATAAGACCGCTTTGTTGCATGAAAAATATGCAGCGATAATTATTTCAAGTTTAGTTTAATCAAATGACTGGCTGCGTCAAATTTACGCGATTAAATAGTAATTTATAGTTATTTTAATGACTACCATTTCGTACTTATCGCGACTTAATCTTATTTAAAGTTGTTTCGCTTTGAGATTGAGAAATAAACTATGCATTTTAATGATTTTATACGGTATTTAAAAAAGCAGGGTTCCTAAACTCGTTACAAAATGCGGCCCGCTAATTGTTTTTGCTGAAATACAAAAAATCGTCCGGCGTGTAGCGTCGCGTCGGCTAGCTTGCCCGGACCGCGCTTGACAACTGACAACAGCTGCGAGCCTCGTACCATAACACTCTGTGCTCTCGTTCACATACTCTTATAATCGTTTTCATAATATTTATCAACTCTCGCCGAACAGACTTAATTGCCTACTTAAATGTATAAAGGCTAGTTTACACATTTAAGTAGTGTGTAAGAATTGTCTTAAAAGTTGAAATGGGATCTTAACTATGATAAAAAGTACAGTCACAGCTTATTTATGTCCCAATTGTCGCGATCCTGTTGGCCAGTTGACATTGTGAACAAATATAATTTTGTCATTTTTTAATTTTTTTATAAGTAAAAAAATAATACGACCAGACCGCTCCAAAATATTTATAAATCCAAATTATCTATATAATAAATGATCCAAAATATTAAAATTCCCAAAAAATGTACTTTTGGAAATCTCAAATTTTAATCACGTACCTATTTATTGAATAATTTTAATAATTTACAATTAGGTATGTTAAATGTAAATAATTAATTTTAGGTAAAATTTTTATTTAATTTTCCCTTTTTTTAAGGTAAACTACTATTAATTGAACTTTACACTTCAAAAAAATCAAGTTGCCAAAAAGTTCTTTTTTAGATTTTTTTTTTGCATATTTTATATGCTGCGCGGTAACGAAAGAACCGCAAACACTCTACCAGACTCGCGGGACTGGATTCACTAATTGACGAAGTTATACTTTTAATAACTTAGCAGCGGTTAGAGGCCCACCATACATATTATAATACGCAAGCAATCAAGCAAGGAGTTCTATCCGCCTAAAACGTCAATAAACTTTTTTTAATTAACAATTTCACTGGTGCCTGCGGGGATTGAACCGTGGTAACTAGTGACTGTAAAATTTACAGCGACCGCTTAACACTTGAGCTATTACGGCTCTATAATACTATTATTTTAAGGTCCTTTTTTTCTTTTTTTTTTCTTTTTTGTTAAATCTGTTATGTGACAGCGATATATTGTCCTCCTGATCGAATGTTGGTTCGGCGGCCAATCACAAAGACTAACCTCTTGCGCAGGGCAAAATCAGGATACAGCACAGCTCTCGTCGCAATGATGTGTGCGCTCTCTATTCCCTCACTATCATAGTGCGATGGGATGGCATTCCGACGCGAGCGGAGAGAGATCAGGCACAGGACCAACGACTTTATGTGTTTTCTGAGGCATGGGTTGAAACACCGCCAAATTTCGGACACCGAGCTGGTATGGAGTATTTCTTGTCAGCTTGTCACAAAACTCTCATAACTGTTTAACCTAATTTTGATTCGAACCAGGATTTGAATACGAGATCAGTTTAGTTCTAACGGGATTAGCAGTAGCGCCTACAACCAGTACACCAACGAGGCTGTGTATTAGACGTGCTCATTTTCTATTAACTTGCGTACACCTTTACACTTTCTCACAGGCCATTATATCCTCTGCAATATAGTTGCCTGGTAAAGATCGCTTCTAAACCATAAGTTCATCTATTGTATCTATATAAAATTTGTTGTTTTTATTTATATTTCTTTTTATTTAATTATCGGTCTACTATAAAGTAAATTTCATTTTTATCATACCTTGATCAAAAGTTCGTATTTCGACACACTTTCGAAAGTGCCACATAGCGTCTAGATTCAATAACTTATTAATTTAGTACACACGTGTCAAATTTCTAGCTCTATTGTTTTTGAATTTTTAGGTACATTCATTTCGAACAAGGTATGATATAAAATATATAAAGTGTTATACGCACATCGGGAGGAAAGTTCATCGCAACCCGCGTTCTTATCACAAATAATAAATACTAAATATAATCTAAATAATATAATACTTTCCTCCCCCGGTGCGTAATATTTACTAATTTACTTCATTCTGTCAAAGTGTATCAGCTACGAACTGTCATCACCAAGCAACAGAGATATAAAATGTTTAAGGTTATTAATTATTATAGCGAATGTATTTCAATTATAATTTCTTCAAAATGTGTAGTGTTATCCCAGTACTAACCATAATGCTCGTAGCTCGTAAATAAACTCACCTTCAACAAAGAGGAAATATCCCTTCGCGCTGCTATTGAGCATTTTGATAGCAACCTCGACCATTTCCTCCAGAGTTGGCTGATTGTTGGCCTTCAAGTGGTACTCCATGTGATCGTCGTTGAATAGGCCGAGTAAGTACTCTGGTAGGTCGTCGGAGCTGAATATCTGGTATAATAAAATAATTTTAAAACAATCGTTTAGGATTTTATTTTAAATTTAAGTAAATACTTAAAACACTACATTAATATGAAAACATCTCTTTTACCACTTCAATTAAGGTTAAAATGCTTGAGTTAGGAGTGCTCCACGACTTTTTAACTTCCCTGAAAATTGAGTTTTCATCAAATCTTGACGTTTTAAGGTCACAGGAAGCCACCCTTACAATTCGATGGTGTCTGTATGTCAGTGTGTATGTGTATGGATGTATGTAAACATCTTATAACTTTTGAATGGCTTGATCGATTGAAATGAACTAAGCAGATTTCCTAAGTGTTTCATCAAACTTAGATTTCCTATTAATTTTACTATTTTGGACCGGTAGATTTTGAGAAATCTGATAAATCAAAATTTTGGAAAACTGTTTTTTTTTGGTTGTTTTTTCAAAATCGGTTGATTCGTTCGTGAGATATCGTTAACGAAAAGTTTTAAAAAATTGATTTTTTAAAATTACTCTAATTCTCCTCTAATCTAATTACTCATAATTTGGTGAAATTTGTTGCGCTTTGCATTTGAAATTAGCTGGTAGTTCCAGGGATGGCCTACAGGGTCAGCCAATTTTTAATTTTGCATTCTGTACCCCAACATTGGGCTATTATAGCTTACTTGTAAATTACTAAGTGATACTGCAAGCGCAATCAGACGCAGACGTTAGAGTATCTGCACAATAGAGTATTTTGAAGATTGATCTAATTCAACAGTGAGATAATTTAAATTCGTACAACAGACGTATCTATGACAACGACTTTCTGTCAGTGGAAAATGTCGCTTCGCTCTAAGTATACTCTACGCTAATGTGAAATAAGCGTATAAAAGTAAAAAACTTTAAAAAAAAACTAAAAAATTATTTAAAAATTAAAATAATTCTCAAATAATAGTTTCGAAAAGCTTTGTCATGATTGGATAACGGATTATCCAGTTTACCGTCAAGTTTGCAGTGCATCCACATAGACTACTCACATTCGAATCCACCGTAAAGTTTGCATGATGCTGCACCAGATGAAACCATAGCGTATCTCGCTTACTGCTCTGCGAATGTTATGCATACTTGACCGCTCATACACACGTTCAAGTTTACATGACGCTGCAAGCTTGATGCAAGTCAGCAAAATCGAATTTCAATTTTTGCTTTATGTAGACTAGTCATGCACGCTGATAGTCATGCACCTTCAAGTTTACCGGACGCCGCTTCAAGCGCGCGGCAAACTTGGCGGTAAACTGAATCGTGTCTGGCATCCATTATTTTAAAGCACTAACCTTCATTAAATCGTCCCTGTTGGTAACATACTGGTGGGTGGCGTTCTTTCTCATTTTGTCCTCGTGCCACTTTTCGACTAAGTCCACGCCGTCCAGCCTCATACCCGTGCTTTTCGCTGAAAGAGTTGAAGTGTTGGGGAAGAACTCTTTTCTGCCGCCTCCCATTATAACCTGGGAAGTTAATATCTTTATGATACAAAATATATATAAACACTCACGCCTGTCACCAAGAGGGGTAGGCAGAGACTATAGACTTCCATTTGGCTAGATCCTGACACAACTCTCGCCTCCTCCACATCCATATACCTACGCATACATGCTCGCCCGTTAATTACTCCTAATTTGGCCCATTATTAATATATCGCCAATATGGTCCATAAACTTTCGCCTAGGACGTCCCTTTCCGACTCTACCGTTCACTTCTGCAACATAAATTTGCTTTGTCACTCTTTCCTCATTCATTTTTTCCACAAGCATTCCTTTCTTAATCCTGGTAACAAGCTTTATTAATTACAAGCCAACTGCGCCGGAGCCACAGGCAGGATGCCTGTATAACCTTTTGATTGTATGGACGAATGTATATTATCTCCGTCTCTATGTCTACCCGTAAGTTCTTAGCTTTGATAAATATATTATATCAGTTAATGTGTCATGAAATGTAAAAATATTTATTTTTGTGTCTGAATGGGGGTCCCTAGATGGTTGATTCACGTTTGGAACCGATAGGTGACGCTGTTGTCGAGATTCAGATATCACCCGTGCTAAGTAAAGGCGGATCACTAGTGTAGAATATAATGTAAACATATAATAAAAATGTAATTTGCATGTGTCTGCATATTGTATACTTTTGTGACAAAAATGATTGAGAGGAATTAACAATAAGCAATTATAATTTATATCATTTTAAGAATACAAAAATATGTGCAACTTTTGAATAACTTGACCGATTATATAATGACCGTGTAACTTCTGAACGACTTGACCGAGTATATAATGACCGTTTAACTCATGAATGACTTGACATGATATTACTCAATTCGTACATTTCAATACAGTGCACACTTTGAGTACCACTTTAACGAATGTTCGGTGATTTAGCCGAATGTTCGGCCGAATGCGAATATTCGGTAAAGCTGCCGAATATGCCGAATACCGAATATAAAACGAATATTCGGCCCATCTCTAGAAAATACCTCTATCCTGGGAAGAACCCGCCAGAAACCCAGCGGGAATTTTTGTACCATATTTCTATTTACTATCATTTTGTTTGTACAATTTTTAAATTAATTTTAATAAAACCAGCATGGTGGCGCTGACCTTATTACCCGGGGTTATTTTCATTTAGGTATTCTTTGATATAATAATAAGGTATTTTATTTCAGCGCATATTTGCATAGCAAATAACTGACTACCTTATTCATGTAATCGCAAACGCGACTGCTGATTATGAAGTCTTAGGTTCGAATTCCGGGACAGGCCAAATTCAGTTATTGAGTTTTGGTCACGAACTTACCAGTGGCATTCTGGAGCTAGGAGTTTTAGAACACGTAAAGCAGTTCCATAGAACTATTAGAGTGAGGGAATAGAGAGCGCACCTGTGCACTGCACAAACTTGGCTAGTGATCGTTGAGATTGGCCGAATCTGGAAGACATTACTGTTGAAGTAATGCACGGGCTGGTGACGACTTGTACAACCAGAACAAGAATGTAATTTAATGATGAAAGCCGAAACTCGTTCAGACAACTTTTTCCTGTGCAAACTGGATTTTAAAGCATTCAATATAATTGAATAAACCGCCACAGCTATGTTGAGTTTTGTTTCGCTTCGATAGCGACTGCTATTGTAATTTAGATCTTATTTCATACACGTGAGACTGAAATTGCGCACACACTGATTTGCATATTCTACTGTTCAGCAAAAGCGTTTATTTTCACATTAATAGCGTCAGAATCAATATGGTAATTGCAAGCGACGCAGTTGACTGGGCTATTGTAATGTGCTCTTTATTTATTCATAGTTTTAAATATACTCGGAACACTTGTTCAGAACGTTTGGTATTCACCATGCTTGTTTTTTTTTTAAGTCTCTGCGTTATTTTGTTATCTAGACACCTGTTACTTTTATACTTACCTTAGCAAATTTCAGCATATATAATTGGAAATAAACGATTATTTTATAATAATAAACTATTTCCATTGTTTTTCTATCTGATTGGAATACATAAAATACTTATAAATATATACAAATTTGCAGAAGAGGTACAGATAATATGGGCAAATGGTGAAGAAAAATTAATAAAAAATCTGAAAATTTACCTCCTTTTTATCTTTTAAATTCAAAATGCGTTCTAATGCATTAATTTAACTGGTTTCACCGCACACGCTCACATTTCTAAGCGTCGATCGGTTGGCAAAAACGTTGTTGCTAATAGGAAAATCACATTTAATTTGGGATAATTTCAAATAAAAGTATAAAGCTTTATTTATTCGTGTTTTCAAAAATTACAATAATAGCATGTCATTATTTATATATTTGAACTTTTTTATATTAGGATTTTTTTATACATGAGAGGTGCTCAAACTCTTAGGTGACTACAGTGAACAACTACAGCAGGGGAGTTGCAGGTGCGTTGGCGGTCTCTTAAACAACAAAAGGCTCTTTTCTTGAAGGTTCCCAAGTTGTACCGATGCGTGAAAATTTAATTTTATGATTATTAACACAGCAACTAATGAGTCTCACTACTGCGCAAAGATCTCCTACATTCGAAGGGTGGAGCTAGGAAGGGCGCACGCTATTTTTGATCAATTTCAATTCATATGAGAGCTTCACCTTAAATTGTCGCCCAGGGTTGTTCATGATCAGTTGATACGCGATGTCCTGGCAGCCCAATGCGAGGTCCTCTTCCGGCACGTCAGCGTCGCTTTCCCAGTTCCTCTCCGATGTGTGCGCGTACATACCAGCTGGTGACGCGTGGGTCACCCGCGTTGTTGTTACAAAACCTATAGATTAGTAAAATAAAGTGCTACTGGGTTACTTGTTGGTTTTTCCCAGAACATTATATGTTTTTTTTTCTAAAAAAAATATTTTCTGGGGAATCAGTGGTAAAAAAATTACTGTCAATAAGTCTCATTTTATGTAGTGGCGGTATGATAAATTCTGATACCCCATATTGGACCGTGATTAAGAGCCGTGGTAGCTCAGGGGCTAAGCGCTCTCTGTAAATTTCATAGTATGCGAGCAACCCGGGTGCATCCCCGCCGGCACCAATGAAATTGTTAATTGCAATTTTAAGTGCTGATTTACCACGTGCTCGGTGGTGAAGGAAACATCATGAAAAAAACTGCATGTCCGAGATATAAGAAATCAGTTTATTTCAAAGCCATGAGAAGTTCGCTAACGCATTGGGGCAGCACGGTGGACAATACTTTATCTAGCAGTGGGACGTATGTAGGCTGTAACTTAAACTTTTTAACTTAATATCGCCCCGTGGCTGACATCAAAGGTGACAGAACGAGCCAGGAGATAGGCAGCAAAATCTTCCTAATAACAACTAGAAAATGAAAAAGCTGCCAAGCCTGGCAACTAACAATATCCCTATTTTATAGAATAGGGTGACCACACGAGCACACAGTCCATCTGATGGTAAGTGGTTACTGTGGTCCATAGACATCTACATCTATCCTCGATTACGAATCAAAATGGAGATGCGTTGTCACCTGTGAGGACTAAGATGGAATGCCTCGTTTCCAGTAAAACGGGTCTCATGTTCTCTACATTCACCATACGAAACATAAAGCATAAGCATAAAAATAAGCATAGCATTAAGCTGCTATTTCACGCTCGTATTCTGTGAGAGCGTGGTCCTTCCCCGGTCGAGCCGACCCATTCGTGCTACAACTATACTACTAATATAACTGCAGCATGGCTCTAGGTAATCTATAGAGAGATCCATGTTCAGCAGTGGAATTTGATTAGCTCTAATGGAATGGACAATGGAAGTCTACTTTACAATAAATGTTGCCTAAATAAATAGATAGATAAATTAGCAAACTATCGTTCAACCACAAACGTCACGTACCCGACTAAAACAATTACGACAAAGGATTTCTATAAATAAGGTATAGGTAAAGCTGCTGAACTAAACAATGAGTGATAAAAATTCAAATGGTTTTCAAGCAATTTTATGTTAGTGTCCTATTGAGACTGAATGTTTAGTTTCTATTACTTGCGTCACTTAGTTAGAGAAACACACAATGTCACCTTACAGACAATTAAACTTCAACTAATGAAAAAACCGACTTTAAAATTATTTACATATTATACGTGGAAGAATCATTCTGCAGCTATGTTGTGGTTAAAGCAAGAATGGATCGGCTCGACCCGGGAATGATAACGCTCTCAAAAAATACCCGCGTAGAATATTTTAGCTCAATGCTTCTGTGTTTTGTATGTTGAGTGATGTGAACTGGAGACCCTTTTTACTGGAAACGAGGCATTCCATATTAGTCCTCACGGGTGATAATGCATCTTCATTTTGATTTTTGATTTTTTGATGATAAAGATGGACACTGAACGAATTTGGAACATTTTTCTCATCATATTTAATTTGACACCTCCCGTCAAACATTTTTAAGAGTACTCTAATAAAATTAATGATCTAGATACTATACGTTATACGAGTATTATGTTATAATTTGTGCGCTCAGACTATTATAACATAACTGTGGTAAATTTTAAATTATTACAATTTTTATTCACAGAAAAATACTTTTTTAAAAAGTATGGTGTGTGTGTCGATAATAATTTTTTTCTTATTGTGCTTTGTTGTTTAGGTAGTCAGAAAATTTTGTATTTTAAGGATTTATTTAAAATATAACTTTTCAGTTGCTTTCTTTAGATTATTGTTGAGATATTTATATATCCCTTTTATAAGGGACTTTTGATAGTCCGAAATGATGATGGTGACGATGATGATAGCTCCTTACCGACATCCAAACCGTTATCCAAAGCCCATTGTCCAATAGATGTGGCCCAGTTCCCTTTGTGCAGCTGCGAGTAGCAGGAGCCCCTGGTAACGTTGCCGTCGAGCCCGATCACGCCGAACTTCGTCTTCACGCCAGTCAAGTAAGAGGTCGCGGTACAAGCCGAGTCAGGGACTTGAGCGTCGATGCAGTACGTCTACGAAAAGAGAATTCATTCTAATTTAACGTATTTACTGTATTAGCTGGGTAAAAAGGGGAAAGGAAAGAAATTTTTAATTTCAAAAAATTATACTTTATTTATATAAGCGCATGCTGCAAATTTCACAATCCTACGCGAGCTATCTAAGCTCGATTTTGCTTGTTAGATAGTAATACAATAAATATCACATTTTGGTCAATATACATTAAAAATCTCCTATTGCAAACTTTTCTGTTACAGCCTCTATAAGTCCGTAGCTTAATATAAATCTCCCCACAGATTGCCTCACAAGGGCGATATTGCCACAGTTGCCATGTTTAACAGTGGACCTGGCAATCGCAGTTTTTATTCTCCAGTAGTATAAGGAAGACGCTGCTACCTATCTACATGTTTGTTGTCCTCTGTCCCTTACGACACCCACGGAACGATTTGGGATGATGGATATTCTTGCACCACCGCTATGTGGTTGAGAGCTAATTATAACAGCAGGCAAATATTCATTTTATAACATCCAGAAAAAAATATTAAAAAATATATTATAAACCCCAAGCGGCGCCATTTGAATTATTAATTGACTTTTAATTAACCACGTGCTTAGCGGTGAAGGATATCATCGTGAGGAAACCTGCATGTGTGGGTAATAAAATGTATCGAGGATACGTGAAGTCCGCTATCACGCACCACTGTAACATGGACTTACTTGTCTATAAATTTAATTGCCTAAGGACTCACTCATTTTGCATCTTTTTGAATTAAGTAGATGGTCCCATATAAAGGTTGGTTTAAATATATTAAAGGTTGAAGTTTTTCATGTTTAGAAAAGATATTAATTGTATACAATATAAGATAATATATAAAACATTATATTATAAACATGACTTTATATATGTCTTAGCAGCGACTTCGAAAAATTTATGTGGAAATTATTTAATATTTTTAGTTCTTTGACGTACCTAGGCTGCACTAAAAGTATCGGGAATGGAATATTTCCACTGTTCCTGTCATATTAAAATCTTTTTAATTGAAAACACCTTGGTTTTAAAAATCGAATACCATTTATTTATTTAAAAAAAGATTCTCGGTCTTGTCACAAGGTTTTGTCAAACTTGTTTAGTCGTTGAGAAAATGGAATTGACTCGAGAAAATTCAAGAGCGATGATTTATTATGACTTTCGAAGTGGTTTAACACAAAAACAGTGTGTTGACCGGATGATTTCTGCATTTGGTAATGAAGCCCCATCCAAAACCACAATTTATCGCTGGTTTGCTGAATTTCAACGTGGACGTGTCAAGCTCAGTGATGATCCCCGTCAAGGTCGTCCAAAAACTGCAGTCACGCAAGAAAACGTTGATTCTGTGCGTAAGCTGATTGAGGAAGATCGACATGTGACATACCGCGAAATTCAGGCAATTTTAGACATTGGCATGAGTCAAATACAAATAATCTTGCATGAACAATTAGGTGTAAAAAAAGTCGTTTTCCCGATGGATACCGCATTCGCTCTGTGAAGAGCAAAAAAGCGGCTCGCGTTACTTGGTGCGTCAGAACTCTCGAAAGATTCCACGCAGGATCCTCAAATGCTGTATACAACATCGTATCAGGTGACGAATCCTGGATATACGCGTACGAACCCGAAACAAAAAACCAGTCACGAGTTTGGGTATTCGAAAATGAGTTAAAGCCAACAAAATTAAATAATTTAATTTGCAAAAAAATGGTGGCCACGTTTGTTTCTAAAGCCGGTCATGTTACGATTATTCCTCTTGAGAGACAAAGAACGGTTAATGCAGAATGGTATGCTAGCATTTGTTTGCCACAGGTCATTTCTGAACTCCGTAAAGAGAACTACAACCGCCGCATCATCACGACAATGCGAGTTCTCACACCGCACACAGAACAAAAGAGTTTTTAGAGCAAAAAAATATAGAATTATTAGACCATCCGCCGTACAGCTCCGACCTAAGCTCTAATGATTTCTATACTTTCACTAAAATAAAGAATAAATTGCGTGGACAGAGATTTTCATCACCTGAAGAAGCTGACCCCAACTTCCGAATGGAATGGTTGTTTCAATGATTGGTTTCATCGTATGAAAAAATGTGTCAAATTTCGCGGAGAATACTTCAAAAAGCAATAAATACATTTTTAAATAGTAATGTTGTGTCATTTCCTTGATTCCCGAAATTTTCAGTGCCCTCGTATTTCGCTTTTTATTGAAAGTTATTTCTTTTTGTTATAAAACTGCTAAGAGTAGGACTGCCTACCACTAGATGGAGAGACCTAGTAAGTAAGGCATGCAAGAATTCGACGTATGCAGGCGGCTAAGGATTTACCTTTCTTTGCCTAGGGTTGTACTGATGATAATGATGGTGAGCGTGCCAACGGCGGTGCTCCGTTATAGAGTAACACACACACAAATAGAATTTGGTGATCAGCCTCACCTGCTTGCGGTGCAGCTTATACGTGGTAGAGCCATGCTGCAGTTATATTAGATGTATAGTTGTAGCACGAATGGGTCGGCTCGACCGGGGAAGGACCACGCTCTCACAGAATACCAGCGTGAAATAGTAGCTTAATGCTGCTGTATTTCGTATGGTGAGTGTAGAGAATCGGCGACCCATTTTACTGGAAACGAGGCATTCCATCTTAGTCCTCACGGGTGGCAACACATCTGCATTTTGATTCGTAATCGAGGATAGATGTAGATGTCTATGGGCCACAGCGGCCACTTACCATCAGGTGGACTGTGTGCTCGATTGTCACCCTAGCCTATAAAAAAAAAAGCTTAATATCTAACTGACAAGATTCTGGATCCCTTTCAGAAATTACTTAATCTTTAAATTCGTAGAATTTAAGACGAAATGAAATAAATATAGATCAATGAACATTTTAAAGATGGCGTCTCTATGAAGTTATATTTTACAAAACATTGATCATTTAGCAGCTTTTCTGAACGACTCTTTTCGTGAAAGATGGTTATTTTTAGCTTGACAAACGAGCATACAGTCGACGTGATAGCGTAGTAAATGCTGTAGCCCATTGACACCTACATCTATCCTCGATTAAGAATCAAAATGTAGAATGCGCTGTCACCCGTGAGGACTAAGATGGAATGCCTAGTTCCCATAAAAAAGGGTCTTCAATTCTCTTTACTCTCCAACACAGAGCAGTAATAAGCTACTATTTCACACTGGTATTCTGTGAGAGCGTGGTCCGTTCCCGATCGAGCCGACCTATTCGTGCTGTAATCAAAATGCAGCTCCAGCGCGGCTCTGCCACGTATGGAACATCATCTATCGCATCTGTATCACAACACTGCTGTCTTTATTTTCAGCTGTAGTTATTTTGAACGAGACGCATTGAAAGCGGTCAGTCATTCGCGTGTACACATGACGGGTTTTCGTCTATTGAATGATGTAATAGTGGAGACGAACTGTCCACTATTAACAGACTCCGAGTGGTTTTCTTTAAGGTGGAGAAATGAAACTACTGTTTATGTTTATGAATGTACTGTCGAATGGGATTCGGAATGGAATATCCTTTTGCATCAACCTTGCCTATATTTATATGGCTGGCTCACTATTGATTTGCCAATGGTAACAATTAATATTTTGCCTAGCCAATTATATTGCTTATTTTATGACCAATGAAAACTATTTAAAATATACAATTATCTACGTTTCGTTTCCCGGCGTGAGACTTGTTTGTTGTTCACGAAGCTACGTCGCTGGACCGGGCTATATAAGACATGCAGATCGGTGCGCACGCGTAGTCGGCGGGCGGCGGCGGTGTGGAATACAGCTCCGGAACAGCAAGAGGAAACGAACTGCGGCGTTGAAGAAACGGCTCACCATTGGTCGACGGATATGTGACGATAGCGGCGTGTGAAGTCGGTGTGGCGCTGAATGATATTTGCGGCTGCTTCTTGTTTCTTTATAAGAACGTCAAATTATCTATATACAGTCCGTAGTATCTCAGTAGCCAAGAATAATTAGGAAATAAAATGTTTTTTTTATTTATTCTCGCCTTCCGCGTTATGGTAGCAGCGGAGTATATATTATTTATTCCCGTTTCGGTTTGATTAATCTGGCTGCTACATCACTCTCCCCCCCAGCGAAAGCGTACCGGAGGCTTGACGACTCGCCCGTATTTCGTAGTTTTTAAAATAGGTTTCAACTGGGTTGATGTAGATGATGAAGTTTCAAGCTTCCTCGCTGGTGGTTTTGATGATGATGATGAATCCTCTGCAGTATCCTCGTTAATAATATAGGCTGGCTTTAGTCGGTCGATCGATATAATCGTAGATTTCCTTCCGGGTATTTGTAGTTTAAAAGTCTTGCTATTTCTCTCTAATACTTTATACGGTCCATCGTAGGTAGGTTGAAATTGTTTTTTCATTGCGTCGTTTCTTACAAAAACTTGTTTGCATGTTTTCAAATCTTGGTGAATGAATACTGATTTATTATTTCTGTGTGATTGCATTTCGGTGCATTTCAACGATAAGGCTTTGTTAATTGATTCTCGAAGTTTAGTTACGAAATCGTAATCCATTTCTTGTTTGTTTGACGCTGCTGAACTGAAGAAGTCACACGGCAGCCTTATGCTGCAGCCGTAGGTTAGCTGAGCGGCGCTAAGACTAGTGTCTGCACGCGGTGTTGCTCGTAGTCCGAGTAGCACTGTAGGTAGCTCATCAATCCACTTTGTATGTTGAGATAAACGAGTTTTGAGTGCAGTCTTTAATGTACGATGCCATCGTTCGATTATTCCGTTTGACTGAGGATGGTATGCTGTTGTACGCGTCTTCTGTATTCCCATAGTTTGAAGAAGTTTGAGGAATAGGTTGCTTTCGAAATTCCTTCCTTGATCCGTTGTGATGGTTTTAGGTGATCCGAAACGAGTAATCCAATTTTCATAAATTATCTTCGCGACGGATTCGGCTGAAGTATCATCGGTAGGTATTGCTTCTGGCCATCTTGTTGTTCTGTCGATCATTGTT